GGTTTCTGAACGACATTGCTCAGATCTGAGTTTTTCCCTACGTGAATCGATCCTAAAATGCTAAAATCTTCACCTAGGAACAACTCAAGCACGGTCTGTGAAGAAGTTTGGCCGAGACCTCAACCCAAAGGCGGAGATCCGAGAGTTGTCCGAGAACGGTGAGCGAACTTCCGACATTCTTAAATCATCCGATAGTCAAGAAAAATTACAGAAAAAATACTAGGACGTAGCCTGTAACACGATCTAGAACTTTGCGGAAGGAATCGTATCGATCCGATCTACGGATCGAAAGATATGAAAATCGGAAAAAAAAAACAGACTGGGTTCTGGTTTTCAGAGGACAGAGAAGACAGAAGAAAGAAGAAAGAGAAAAAAAAAAGAAAAAAGAAACGGCCGGCGAGCGGCGGAGGGCGGCGACAGGCGCCGGACACGCGTCGACCATCGGTTGGAGCAACGCAGCTCCAGCGATGCGTCGACACGTGTCGCCTGCAAGCTGGGCCAAACCGCGACGCGAGCCGAGCCGACTGGAGAGCCTACAAGTAGGTGGCTTACTGAGTATAATTTTTATACTCATCCTTGCTATGTTTTCCTTTTTTCTCAGGAGCGCGAGGTGTCGGTCAAGAGTGGGCGTGATCAGACGGGAAGTGTCACAGAGGAATGGGTTGTCCCGGGGCGTCAGTCCAATCTTAGTCTTTATTTTTATATTTGCATTCTTTTGAAATTTATTTTCCAAACGGTCTTGTGTTCGGTGTTTGTCGTTCGAAAAAAACTTTAGTGTTATTTGATGATTTTCTTTATTTCATATTTAAATCTCTTTGTGCATTTGTGTCGTGTCGTTAGTCACGGTCCGTACTAACATATTGGGTTGTGACAAATTTGGTATCAGAGCTAGGTTATAGGTCCTGTAGACTTTTAGGATAGAGAGTCGTGTCCTCTGTGACTTCTCTCGTCAATCACATGTCGCTCACGACCAGACGTTCTCACGCGACGGAAACATAGAGACAAAGGTTAAGTTGGTATTTATAGAGTATACCATGACCGACTATGGCATCATATCGCACATTACCTAGGAGATGTTCTATGAATGAATTGTGACCATAGTTCCTTTTTTTTATTGTGGTAGATAATGGCACCGAAGAGACGCGAACCGTATGTAGGGCCAGGACCTAGAAGGGGAAGAAGAGAGAAAGTTCAAGACACCTCGGTTCCAACACCTGAAGAGGAACAACCTGAATTTCAGGAGGAGGTTGGGGATATGCCCCAAACTAGCGAGGGGACAGTACCACAACCATCAAGATCAAAAAGACGCCGAATGAAGGCCAAGGCCCGAAGGCTGCTTGGTACACCCCCTACTACTCCCTTCTCCGAGGAGGCCCCATCGGTCCAACCCCGTGTACAGTAGTCCCGCTAAACCAGCCATTAGCCATGCCCTCAGCTGAGATGTTTCAGACATTCATGATGACGTTGATGGAAAATCAGGCTCTGACGAACCAGATGATTCAGACCATGATGTCTAATCAGTCAACAGGGCAAGGAGGCAAGGATTCAGGGACTATGACTGTGGAGTCCCGCTACTTAAGAGATTTTCAGAGGCATAAACCGCCTTTCTTTGACGGAGGCAAGGTGGATCCCATTGCTGCCAAGAACTGGCTAAAGGCCATAGAAACGGCCTTCCATTTTATGAACTGCCCACCAAAGTATGAAGTCCATTGTGGGACATATATGCTGAAAGGAGAAGCGCACTTCTGGTGGAAAGGTGCTCAGAAAACCATTGTACCACAAGGAGAGTTTATTACATGGTGTCAGTTTAAAGACGCATACCTCCACAAATACTACCCAATCACTGCTAGAGTGAAAATACAGGCAGCGTTCCTCTTATTGAAGCAGGGAGACAGATCAGTGGAGGATTATGACTTGGAGTTCAATAGACTAGCAAGATTTTCTCCAGCCTATGTTAGTTCTGAGGAGTTGAAGGGCGAACGATTTATCGCTGGCCTGAGGGAAGAACTAAGGGGTAATGTGGCATCCCAGTCATCCTTTGTCTATACGAAAGCCCTTCAAGTGGCGACCCTGCTCGACTCGCCCCGTATCGACAAGCTACAGTTGGGAATAGCACAATCATCCCGCACTGCAGCCCAGGAAAAGGGGACATACCCTAGCCACCCCAGAACTGGCAGACCACCCCGTGGCCGCATTGATAGGCGAAGGAGAGCCCCGGTACGGAACATGACCTTATGTCCTAATTGTCGGCGTCCTCACACGGGGGAATGCAGAGCAGGAACAGGCGCCTGCTACAGTTGCGGTCAGGTAGGGCACTTTGCAGTGGATTGCTCTCAGAGAAACGATCAGCGTGTCAACCTGCCTGCAGTACAGCATCAGAGGGGCCAAGCTGGCCAACATCAGCAGGGGCGCACTGTAGCCCATGCAACAACAGCCAGGCAAGCTGACCAGCCTGACACGGTTGTCACAGGTACGCTACCTGTATTTGGTCATCTTGCATTAGTGTTGTTTGATTTGGGTTCGACACATTCATTCGTATCTAAAGAGTTTGTAGAGCTAGCACATCTAGATAAAGAACATTTAGAGATTACCCTATTAGTGTCTACCCCTGCTCACGAGCTGTTGCTAGCTACCCATAGGGTTAAGGGAGGTGGAGTAACAATATCAGGGCGTGTCGTCGAAGCTACACTGATAGTGTTAAGCATGCAAGACTTCGATGTCATCTTGGGTATGGATTGGCTAGGCGAGAATCGTGTTTTGATAGATTGCAAGACTCGAATAGTGACTCTCAGGCTCCCGTCAGGGGACAACTTTACCTACAAGGGAGCCACTGTCAAAGGTGTCCCAAGCGTTATAACATCGCTAAGGGCTAAGAAGTTGATTCGTAGTGGCGCAAGTGCATTTCTAGCCAGCGTGACCTTAGAAAATAGTAACAAACAAATAACCTCATCGGTACACATCGTCAAGGAGTTCATAGATGTCTTTCCGGAGGATCTACCAGGTTTGCCCCCAGTTAGGGAAGTTGATTTTGGGATCGATTTAGAACTAGGAACGGTACCGATCTCCAATGCACCTTACAGGATGGCACCTGCAGAACTCAGGGAATTGAAGGAACAGCTACAAGAGTTGTTGGATAAGGGTTTCATCCGACCCAGTGTATCACCCTAGGGAGCCCCTATTCTGTTTGTCAAGAAGAAGGACGGGCCCATGCGGTTGTGTATTGATTATAGGGAATTAAACAAGGTCACTATAAAGAATAAGTACTCTCTCCCGAGAATTACGACCTGTTTGATCAGCTACAGGGAGCAACAGTTTTCTCCAAAATTGACCTAAGGTCGGGGTATCATCAATTGAGGGTCAGAGAAGGGGATATACCCAAGATAGCCTTCAGAAGTCGTTATGGGCATTACGAGTTTCTCGTTATGTCCTTTGGCCTTACCAATGCACCAGCCGTTTTCATGGAACTAATGAACAGGGTGTTTAAGGAATTCTTGGACACCTTTGTCATAGTGTTCATTGACGACATTCTGGTATACTCTAAGTCAGAGGCAGATCATGAAATACACCTCAGAAAAGACTTGACAATACTGAGAGCCCAGCAGTTGTATGCCAAGTTCTCTAAGTGTGAGTTTTGGGTTGTTTGAAGTTGTATTTCTGGGTCACGTGGTGTCAAGCAAGGGGATTACAGTGGACCCAGCTAAGATAGAAGCAGTGATGAGGTGGCCGCAGCCGACCACAGTCACAGAGGTGAGGAGTTTTCTTGGGCTAGCTGGTTATTACAGAAGGTTTGTTCAGGATTTCTCCAAAATTTCCTCAACGCTGACTCAGCTAACCAAGAAGGGCAAGCCCTTTACTTGGACTCCAGCCTGCGAACAGAGTTTCCAGGAACTCAAGAAGAGGTTGGTAACTGCACCAGTCCTTACAGTTTCAGACGGACCAGGTAATCTTGTGGTGTACAGTGATGCATCAGGGAAAGGCTTGGGGTGTGTGCTCATGCAGAAAGGTAAGGTGATAGCATATGCTTCTCGACAATTGAAAGAATATGAACGAAACTACCCCATGCATGATCTCGAGTTAGCAGCGGTAGTATTTGCTCTAAAAACGTGGCGGCACTACCTTTATGGGGAAAAAGTACAAGTCTTCACTAATCATAAAGCCTCAAATACTTATTCACGCAGAAGGAGCTCAATATGAGACAAAGGTGATGGTTGGAACTGGTAAAGGATTATGACATAGAGATCTTGTACCATCCAGGCAAAGCCAACGTGGTAGCTGATGCATTGAGCAGGAAGGTTGTGCATACTTCTGCGATGATCACCACATAGGAAAAACTAAAAGATGAGATGAAGAGGGCTGGGATAGACGTGCTGGTTAAAGGTGGTAATGTTAAGATGGCACAGTTAACGATACAGCCCACCCTACGAAAGAAAGTTATCGACGCTCAGAGGTCTGATGAACACCTCAGTAAAATGTGGAGTCAGACTGAGACAGAGAGGCCAGTAGGGTATTCTATCTCCTCAGATGGGGGTCTGTTATGGCAAAACCGCCTGTGCGTTCCCCGAGACGAGGGAATCTTAAAAGATATTATGACCGAAGCCCATGATACATCTTATGTGTTCCACCCTGGAAGTACGAAGATGTATCAGGATCTGAAAAGGTTTTACTGGTGGTTCGGAATGAAGAGGGACATAGCGGATTTTGTGTGCCGTTGCTTGACCTGCCAGCAGGTGAAGGCCCCAAGACAGCGCCCAACAGGATTGCTACAGCCCCTGAACTTTCCTCAGTGGAAATGGGAAGCGGTGTAATACCCGAAGAAAGAGAAATAGAAATAGAAAAAGGGAAAAAAAAAAAAGGAAAAGTCGAGAGGGGCAAATAGGTAAATTTGCCCCTCCAACCACCTAAGGGGTCCAAACGAAACCCCATCCATAGTCCTGCAAAAGAGAGATAGTGAGAGAAAGGGGTAGGAGAGAACTTAGAGAGAGGAGAAAGGATGAACCGCCGGAAGACTCATCGAAAACTACCGTCGGAGTCTATTCCAGTAAAGATCATGATGCAAGGAAGTGAAGATCATGCAGAGAGACTTTCTTGGAAGGGAAAAGAGAATGTGGGTGGCCAGAGTCCCATTTTTCATCAAGAAGTCGGAAAACCCGCAAGGTAAGGATCTTGAACGTTTTCTCAGATCTAAGGTTTTCCTATGTGAATCAAGATCTGAAATTTTGATATATTCATCTAGGAACAACTCTACGCGTGATCTGTGAAGAAGTTTGGCCGAGACCTCAACCCGAAGGCGGAGATCCGAGAGTCGTCCAAAAACGGTGAGCAAAATTCCAACCTTCTTAACTCATCCGGTAGTTAAGCAAAAATTACAAAAAAAAAAATACGAGGACGTAGCCCGTAACACGATCCAAAACTTTGCCGAAGAAATCATGTCGATCCGATCTACGGATCGAAAGATATGAAAATCGGAATAGAGGATTGTGTTTCGGTTTTCAGAAGGTAGAGAAGAAAGAAGAAGAAGAAGAAGAAAAAAAAAAAGGAGTCGGCCGGCGAGCAGCGGACGGCGGCGACAGGCACCGGACACGCGTCGACCATCGGCTGGAGCAACGCAGCTCCAGCGAGGCGTCGACACGTGTCGCCTGCAAGCCGGGCCGAACCGCGACGCGAGCCGAGCCGACCGGACCGGCCGACCCGCGACTACGCAGAGGCGGGCGCGCGTGCAGCACGCGACTGGCGCCTTCCCGCGCGCGTGGGACAGCCATTTTGGGCCGGTTGCTTTCTGTTTGCCCGATTTTTGTCCCAGTTCCAGTTCTAATACTGTTCTTATGTGAATAGGGACCTAATTTAAAAAAATCAGTACTTTTGGACACCTCACGGGCAAAGAAACGCTAACAAAAAGGGCACGCGTTAACCAGGTAAGTCACCACCCGGTATTTAGGAAGAAATACTTGTAGGGTTCGCTTGGATTGTATGTATGCATGTTAGTAATTTTGCCTTAAATTAGCTCTCCATGAATGAGGTTAATCAGATGGATTGTTATGATGTGTTGGGTGAATTATCTGAGTGTTGCTTGTATGCCTTAAGCTTCCGTTGTACATATGCATGCGTTTAATTTATGTTGGAATTGTGTATTCCGTGTTCCGGGTGCTCGATGGATGAATTCGCCCCATTGAGCGCGAACTTCGTGTTTTGGGTGCTGGATGGAGGCCATCGCCCCGTTGAGCCGGCGTGCCTAGTTTGCATGAATATCAAGATGTTAGAAGACGGTTGCATGCACACCTCGTTATTTTCTAGTGCCCATTTCTATGACAAGCTTAGAGAATTATTGTTAGGAGAGATGTGTCGCTCCAGCCAGACTTAATTTTCCCCTAGGAACTTAGCGGTTCACCATGGCAAGAAAGTACCTAGGAGTGTTCATAGATTGCTAGCGTGAGAGCGGTATCTATAGCTTCGTGGGAGGACCAAGGGTCCCTGATCAGTCCTTACTGCTCTTAGCCATTTCGCATGGGAAATGTGTCCCCACGTCGTATAGCCCATTAGCTGCATGGGAACGGGTTGGGTCGCGCCCCCCCATAGGAAAACTATATGGGCGTAGGGGTATTCAGCACACCCCTAGGCTAGATACCATGTAGTCCTAGATAGCCATGTAGAGGTAGCGCCTCATAGAGAGATACCGACCATATCAGCTTGGCATAAGGAACCTCTAGATGACTAATGAAAGGACGATGAACCGGTGAAACCCAAGGGGCAAGCTCCAAGAGACTAAGGTTAGAACCCGATGTCCTAGAACCGAATTAGGAAACCGTGGGAGTTCTGTTAAATGAAGATGCGAAAAGAGCCTACAAGTAGGTGGCTTACTGAGTATAATTTTTATACTCATCTCGTTCTCCTTTATTTTTCTCAGGTGTTCACTGGCTGCTGGTCGAGGTAGAGGAGCGTTTGAGAGCTGTACAGTCACAGAGGGGGTCGTTCCAGAGCCTTAGTCCCTTTTCGGTCTTTTAGAGTCTTTTGTATTTCATTTTATATTTGCAATTTCTTTTGTAATAATTAACAAACAAAATTTCTCTCTTTTGTTTTAATTCAAAGTATTTTTATCTTTTTATTTTGCTTTTCTTTTCTTTTATTTTCCTTTTGTTTGTTTTCGATTTCGTCTTTTTAGTCACGATTCGGTTTTTCGAAGCCTCGAAAATCGGGTCGTGACAAGCGGTCTGTATGGATTTCGTCTCGGGTTTCCCAAAGACAAAGCAGGGTTTCAACGTCATCTGGGTAATTGTAGATAGACTGACTAAGACGACCCACTTTATTCTAGGAAAGTCCACATATCGAGTGGATCGGTGGGCTCAGTTATATATCAAGGAGATAGTACGCCTGCACTGAGGTACCAGTGTCCATAGTATCAGACCGGGACACCAGGTTCACTGCTCAGTTCTGGAGGAGTCTTCAGAAGGCACTAGGAACTCAGTTGAGGTTCAGTACAGCGTTCCATCCTCAAACGGATGGACAGACCGAAAGGCTGAACCAGGTTTTAGAGGACATGTTGCGAGTCTGCTCCTTAGATTTCTCTGGGTGCTGGGACGAACATCTGCTTTTAATGGAGTTTGCCTACAACAATAGTTATCAAGCGACCATTTAGATGGCCCCCTTTGAGGCACTGTATGGGCGTAGGTGGCGAACACCAGTGTTTTGGGAAGAGGTAGGCACGCAGCAACTACTGGGACCAGAGTTGGTCTAGGTTACCAACGCAGCGGTGCAGAAAATCAAGCAGAGGATACTCACCGCATAGAGTCGACAGAAAACCTATGCAGATGTGCGTAGAAGGGACCTCGAATTTGAGGTGGGTGACCACGTGTTCCTGAAAGTGGTCCCTATGAGGGGGGTGTTGAGGTTCGGAAAGAAAGGGAAATTGAGCCCAAGGTTCATAGGCCCCTTCGAGATTCTAGACAGAGTTGGGGCTGTGGCTTACAGAATTGCCCTACCACCGAACCTTGCCGCCGTGCACAATGTGTTCCACGTATCCATGCTGCGAAAGTATACTCCTGACCCTACTCATGTAATCGAGCATGGGAGGCTTCCTCTTCAAGATCTATCTTACGAGGAGAAGCCTAGTAGAATTTTGGCTCGAGACACTAGGCGGTTGCGTAACAAAGATATTCCCTTGGTAAAGGTCTCATGGGGTAACCGCTGTGAGGAAGAGGCAACCTGGGAACGAGAAGAGGACGTGAGGAAAGCTTATCCCGAACTCTTCCAAGAGATAGCTACTTTCAAGGACGAAAGTTCCTAAGGAGGGGAGAATTTGTAATGCCAAAAAAAAAAAGGCGGGGGGCTAAGTCAACTAAGGGGCAAAAAGGTCATTTTGCCCCTCCAGCCCTAATAGGGGTCCAAGGAGAACCCCGTCAGATTCCCTACAAAAGAAAGGAGTTAGAGAGAAATCAGAGAGGAGTCAGCCGGGAAGATTAACGGACCACCGTCGAAATCCATCTCCAGACGAGACTCGTACAAGGATTGAGAGGCTAGCAAGGCCGACGCTCCGTCAAAACCTAAGAACATTTCGCGAGGTAAGGTTTCTGAACGACATTGCTCAGATTTGAGTTTTTCCCTACGTGAATTGATCCTAAAATGCTGAAATCTTCATCTAAGAACAACTCACGCACGGTCTGTGAAGAAGTTTGGCCGAGACCTCAACCCAAAGACGAAGATCCGAGAGTCGTCCGAGAATGGTGAGCAAACTTTCGACGTTCTTAAATCATCCGATAGTCAAGAAAAAATTACAGAAAAAATACTAGGATGTAGCCTGTAACACGATCTAGAACTTTGCCGAAGGAATCGTATCGATCCGATCTACGGATCGAAAGATATGAAAATCGAAAAAAAAAATAGACTGGGTTTCGGTTTTCAAAGGACAGAGAAGAGAGAAGAAAGAAGAAAGAGAGAAAAAAAAAGAAACGGTCGGCGAGTGGCGGAGGGCGGCGACAGGCGCCGGACACGCGTCGACCATCGGCTGGAGCAACACAGCTCCAGCGATGCGTCGACACGTGTCGCCTGCAAGCTGGGCCAAACCGCGACGGGAGCCGAGCCGACCGGACCGGGCCGGGCTGGCCGACCGCGACTACGCGGAAGCGAGCGCGCATGGCAGGCGCGCGTGGAATGGCCAATTTAGCTCGGTTGTTTTCTGTTTGCCCGATTTTTGTCCAAGTTCCAGTTCTAATACTGTTTTTACATGAATAGGGACCTAATTTAGAGAAATCAGTATTTTTGGACACCTCACGGGCAAAGAAACGCTAGCAAAAGGGCACGCGTCAACCAAGTAAGTCACCACCCAGTATTTAGGAAGAAATACTTGTAGGATTCGCTCGGATTGCATGCATGCTAGTAGTTCTGTTTCATATTAGCTCTCCATGTAAATTATTAGTCAGATTAACTGTTGTGATTGTATTGGGTAAATTACATGAGTGTTGCTGTATGCTTTAAGCTTCCGCTGTATGTATGCATGTGTTAATTTATGTTAGAATTGTGTATGCCGGGTTTCGGGTGCTTGATGGACGAATTCGCCCCATTGAGCGCGAACTTTGTGCTCTCGGTGCTTGATGGAGGTCATCGCCCCGTTGAGCCGGTATGCCTAGTTTGCATGAATTACATACTATGATGTTAGAAGAAGATTGCATGCACCCTCGGTTAATTGCTAGGGCCCATTTCTAGAATAAGATTAGAGAATTTCTATTAGGAGCGATATGCCGCTCTAGTCAGACTTAATTTTCTCCTAGAAACTTAGCAGTTTACCACGACAAGAAGGTACCCCGGAGTGTTCATAGATTGCTAGCGTGTGAACGGTATCTATAGCTTCGTGGGAGGACCAAGGGGTCCCTGATCAGTCCTTACTGCTCTTAGCCATTTCGCATGGGAAATGTGTCCCCACGTCATACAGCCCATTAGCTGCATGGGAACAGGTTGGGTTGCGCCCCCCCATAGGGGGACTAGATGGGCGTAGGGGTACTCAGCACACCCCTAGGCTAGGTACCATGTAGTCCCAGATAGCCATGTAGAGGTAGCACCTCATAGAGAGATACTGACCATATTAGCTTGGCATAAAGGACCTCTAGGCGTTTAATGAAAGAACGAAGAACCAGTGAAACCCAAGGGGTAAGCCCCAAGGGACCAAGATTAGAACCAGATGTCCTAGAATCGAAATAGGAAACCGTGGTAACCTGTTAAATTAAGATGCGAAGAGAGCCTACAAGTAGGTGGCTTACTGAGTATAATTTTTATACTCATCCTTGCTATGTTTTCCTTTTTGCTCAAGAGCGCGAGGCGTCGGTCAAGAGTGGGCGTGATCAGACGGGAAGTGTCACAGAGGAATGGGTTGTCCCGGGGCGTCAGTCCAGTCTTAGTCTTTATTTTTATATTTGCATTCTTTTGAAATTTATTTTCCAAACGGTCTTGTGTTCGGTGTTTGTCGTTCGAAAAAAACTTTAGTAGAATTTGATGATTTTCTTTATTTCATATTTAAATCTCTTTGTGCATTTGTGTCGTGTCGTTAGTCACGGTCCGTATTAAAATATTGGGCTGTGACAAATTTGGTATCAGAGCTAGGTCGTTAGTCACGGTCCGTATTAAAATATTGGGCTATGACAAATTTGGTATCAGAGCTAGGTTATAGGTCCTGTAGACATTGGTATCAGAGCTAGGTTATAGGTCCTGTAGACATTTAGGATAGAGAGTCGTGTCCTCTGTGACTTCGCTCGTCAATCACATGCCGCTCACGACCAGATGCCGCTCACGGGACAACCCATTTGTAACGACCCAGATCCACCGCTAGCAGAAGCAGATATTGTTCTCTTTGGGCTTTCCCTTTCGAGCTTTCCCTCAAGGCTTTAAAACGCGTCTACTAGGGGAAGGTTTCCACACCCTTATAAATGGTGATTTGTTCTCCTCCCCAACCAATGTGGGACATCACAATCCACCACCCCCCTTCGGGGCCCAGCGTCCTCGCTGGCACTCGTTCCTTTATCCAATCGATGTGGGACCACCCCCAAATCCACCCTCCTTTGGAGCCCAGCATCCTTACTGGCACACCGCCTCGTGTCTACCCCCCTTTGGGCAACAGCGAGAAGGCCGGCACATCGTCCGATGACTGGCTCTGATACCATTTGTAATGACCCAGATCCACCGCTAGCAGATATTGTCCTCTTTGGGCTTTCCCTTTCGGGCTTTCCCTCAAGGCTTTAAAACGCATCTCCTAGGGGAAGGTTTCCACACCCTTATAAATGGTGATTTGTTCTCCTCCCCAACCAATGTGGGACATCACAATATATGACGTATGATGATTATGATGATAAATGATGACATTATATGTTGATAATGATGCATGAAAACGTGATGATGAAAGATTGTGGAATTTTCTTAATATGATGTTATTTTCCATTTTAAGATGAAATGCGTGTTTTAAATGTCATGTTGCATGATGACGATGATTTTCCTAGGACACAACCCTAGTCAATGTTAACGATGATGAATGTATGAAGACCAATGCACATATATTATTTATAGTAATATAAGGATGAAATTAGGGTTGTGTCATAAAGATGTTTTAAAGATGAGAAACCATAGGAACCATAGGGACTTCATGCATTTTGTGTGTACATAAAAATCGGGCTACTTTCCCTTTTACGATGATGAGTACAGACGCGTACCCTACAATAATGATGGTGCTCATTCCTCGCATGCCAATCAGGGGTCTGCTGACCTCCGGACGTTGCTACGGACAGCTAGCTTGACTATGATAGGTCTAGGGGGTCCGAACCACTTAAGGATTCATGCTTGAATGTAATGGGTCATGTGTAGAGAAGTACTACATATCCAATTTAGTCCAGACTAGAGGTCACCCCCATGATGGTTTTAACGATAGGTCCCTAGAGCATGAGTTGCATGTGTTTGCATTTGCCCGGCTCCAGTAGTGGGGACACTTACTGAGTATTTCTTAAAATATTTAAGTTATGTGCTACTTCTATTTCAAGTAAAGGCAAGACACCCTTGTACAGTTAACAACATCGTAATCAGAGACCATGGCGCGTGCATAGGCTAATAACATTTAAAAGTTTTAGACTTAGGTTAGTAGAGGTTGTTTTGCCTCATATGTTTTACTTTATTTATTATCATTATTTTTATCTTGTTTTTTAATTATGTTTTCAAACACGTAAGACCATGAGAGCGTTTTTAAGTTGATATCATGTTTTTAAGATGAACTTATGATTTACGATGACGTTTTAAGAGTTAAATTTCGTAAAAGAGCTTAGACTAAGATGACGGTAGCAACTTTAAATTAACAAAAGTCTAAAGTCGTTACAACTAATGAGAAAAAAAGAAAAAAATGGATTAAGAAGGATAACTTAAGGCACGGATCCGGACAAGAGAGCTCAAAAGATAGAAACTTCCATTGAAGGACAACAACAAGCTTAATAACTCTCTAATCTCTTACTCTCTTTTCTTATTTTATTAATTTTGTATACTTAAGATGTTGATTTTTATGGGTAAATCAAATCAATGTGTTTGGAGAGCTAAATCTTATAAGGGAGATAAGAGAGTTCTATGTAGTTAATGCATGTTGATGATGTTATTTTAGTTTATTAAAGAGTTGTTATTAATAATCTACATGTTCGTTGAGTTGACCACTTTACATAAGTAATCGTTGTCGTGATTTATGTCCTAAAACTTGTAATTAATTATTTAATTTTTATTAATAATTTGATTATTTTATTTATAATTTAATATTATCTATGTATGAAATCCATGGTTATTAATATAATTTTGAATAATAGGTGGTTGACATACTAGAAGATCTCTGCTAATGCTATTCATTTAGCACATAACAGAAAAATAGCAATCATAGCATATGCACACCCAATTATAGAGGAGCTAAATCCATGCATTATCAAACATGAAATGCAAGCAACTACTTTTGAGCCAAAGCTCATGGTATTTCAAATGTGTAAACCATTGGGCAAGTTCTATGAACTACTGTCAGAAGATCTCCATCTACATTTAAAGTCTTTTTTTTTTTTTTTTTTTTTT